CCAACCGTTAGGTCATCCCTTGCGGAACAACAAGTGTGATTATTTGAATCCAAAATAATGTGTTTACAGCTAAAATGAATTTTAGATTAAAGAAAAAAAAAAAAAAAAAAAAAAACTATGCAACATAGTTAGAACGAGGGTAAAAGTGTAAATTGATCAGTATGACTAGGCGCCCCCCACACGTGCCACACAAGTGATTCGACCTGTAATACGGATTCGACAACCCGACAAACAAAACTCAGAACCATTTAATTCTGTATTTGCATTCACATTAATAAAATCACCACCGACAGCATTCTGTTAAAACTCCCTTGCTTTTTCACCGTTATTAATTTCCGGTCAAAACGGAGCGGGGGGCGCCTCCACAAATTCGTCCTTCTTTTTGTCTTTTTACTCTTTTATTTTATCTTATTTTTATATTATGTAACAAGTAAACCTAACCTAAGATACTTTGGGAGTAATACAAAGAAAAGTTCATCTTAATACATCCAAATTAAATTGCACTTGCCGAAATGGTGATGGATGAAAAAAAATTTGAATAAATTTAAACATTATCCTGAACAGATGGAGCGTAGGACCTCAAGCGCTATCAGTTGTCCTGTAAAATGGCGCAAACTCTAACATTTTTTGTGCATTCGACACATACAAACGTTCACGACATTCGATTGTGGGCTGCACCCGGGTCTCCCCAACTTATTATTATTAGGGTTCCCATCCCTTAATCCGACAAGTATTTGATGGAGGAATGTGAATCACGGTAACTCAACGACCCGTTAAGATAGCGGACCCGGACCTGGTGACCACAAGGAATCAACCCTCATTGGAGTTGATATTTCCACACTGCGGCTGTCAGGATTCGATTCTATGACCTTGTACCAATTTACCACTTGTGGAATCAGTTGAGCTATATATATTATTATTATTATTATTATTATTATTATTATTATTATTATTATTATTATTATTATTATTGTTATTATTATTATCTTGGGATGTGAGAGAATGTGATTCTTGATTTATCTTATTCATTTCTTTTTGTATTTAAAAAGAGGGAAATAGAGAAAGGAAAAAGGAAAAGAAGAAAATGCCAAAAAAGAAGAGGTTAGGCGATCGTGGTCAAAAAAAATTAGGTCCACTAAGGAACACTTTATTCTCAACCGCAATCAACGGCCTAAGCCCAAAAAAGAAATACATGTAATCTCTATTTTCTCGTGCGCTTTTATTAAAGTCTAGACAAACAGAACGCTTACGATTATTATAAAATTCATTATTTATTAATTTAATTATTTATTTATTACTTTAAACAGAGTGTGGAAACACACGATATATGAACACGTCATTCAGAAGTCAAAAAGAGCAGGTCTCCGTGATTACCGGCTCTCGCCGGTTTTGTTACGGCGACGGCAACAGTTCCCACTGGCGGAGCTGACCGGGTGGAACCTGCTGAGCAGGTTACGTTGTGGACCTGTGGTCCTCTCCTCTCTATATTTCGATAGCCTTATTAAAGTGACACTTGGTGGGACTCTAAACCCTAGTCACATGTCTAGTAGGTTGGAAATTAGACCCATTTTTAATTACTAATTACACTAGAAACTCAGTAAATTAATAATTTTATTTAGATAATAATTACTTCCGATCCCTATTCGAAAAAGAAATGTATTAATTTATAGGTTCAATAATTTAATAATTCATTAAATCAATAGAATTTTGTTAATTATGACTTACGATAGTATTCATTCAAAAGAGTTTTAGTACTTTCCGCAGAAAAAAGTGAACATTTTCAATATTAATAGAAAACTTTTACTTACCTCCCTCGTATTATCGAAACTTTCATTTACCACCCTGAATTATATGTCATACCTATTATAACCTTATTTAAGCAAAATACCTTCCTCTTTATTTTCAATAAATTTTCTTTTTTCCTTCCATTATTTTACATGCACATTTAATTTATTATTATTAGTAGTATTTTATTATAATATTATTATTGTTATTTTATTTAAAAACGCCACTAAAAAATAAAAATAAACCACTACACAAACTTGTAAATTCAAGTGATACCGGAGATTATGGCATATTTCTCGACCAAGATGGACTTTACAATTTTCTAACAATTGGTGTGTGTCACATTTTGAGATGACTTTACACGAAGATGTGCATTAAAATCAATGTATCTACGCAAAACAATTGAATATTTTATTTCTTAAACTCTCATTATATTGTTCTAAATTTACAAGCACATGCAATTGAAATTTGCACAAAGTCGTAGTGTAAGAAAATACTATAAAGTATTATACACCAAGCAGAGAACTTTGTCACTTTGACTTCTCATATGTAATTAATCCATAGTGGAGTAAGTTATACTATTTAATATTTAATAAGGTGCAAATTTAGACCGGATGGTCAGTTTTAATAGGAAAATCGGATGCCATATTATAATTGACACGTTGATAGTTTAAATAAAAATACAATTATGATTCTAATAATTGGAAGAAAAAAAAAAAGCAAAAAGAAAACACAGCAGAACCCATAACTCATCTAACTCGAATTCTAATCAGCGTGATAGTGCCACATGTCAACAAATTAGTGGAATCCGATTTATATTAAATATCGGCTCATCCGCTCAGAATTTAATCACTATTTAATATTATAAGAACATATATAGTGTGGGCATAAGTGTAAAAGAGGGTTCCTGGTTATGAGGTAGTATTTGAATTTGTTGTTGATAATGGAGACCGGAAATGATAATAGTGTTTCCATTGTCTTTTATTTTCTTCTTCAAAGTTAATATTAAAAAATCCGGTTGCGCAGCACTTTTGAATTTTCTACAGCATTCACATTTGCTAGTAGTCCACGCAGGCAGTTCGAAATGAATTAAATAAATTCTACCTAATATAATATTTTACCAAACTTGTTTGTTTCAATTGCACTTGATCATTCTATTTGTCTTTATAGTAAATTTTCGAATTGTTTGATCGGTTTTAACTTAAGCCAACTAGAATATGAACAACCATTACGGAATAAGAGGGCGTTTGCCTAGGTTTATAAGATGTAAAAGCATCTTATAAGATGTTTCGGAGCTTATAAGCTCTTTCAAAGTGTTTGACATTTTTTTTTTAAAATTAAAAAATTTAAGTTGTTGAGGAACTTATAAGATTTTTTTTTTAAAATATATTTACCCCATTTTTTTTTGTAAATAAGTTGTTTAAAATAATTTTAGTCGGTCTTAATGTGGTGTTTGCAAATGTTTTTATAGATAAACTATAGGTTTTTTTTTACATATAATCAGTTTTTAGGTGTTTGCAAAACATGTTTTTGCTTCTCTTAAAATAGGTTGCTTTAAGCTATAATTTAATTAAAAGCACCAAATTACCTGCTTTTTATAATTTAGTTTATTTTCCAGCTAACTTGTTTACAAATAAGCACTTAATTCCAACTTAACTGACAATAACTAACTTCTGCTTTGAAATACTCCCCCCGTTCCATAATATCTGTCGTTTTGGAGAATTTTTTCTGTTTCATATTATCTGTCACTTTAAATTTCCAACACTTCATTAATTATTTAATTTCCAGTTTATACCATTATTAACTCTTTTCAATACTTTTTTTTCAACTAATTTCTCTCTCTTATTAATTATAAGTCAACGTCATTTTAGTCTAAATGCATACATTTTGCTAAAATCAAAACACATTTAATGAAATTTTTAATCTTTATGCAAAGCTAAAAAACAAGAATTAAAACGAAATGGGGGAGTTAGTTTTTGCAAAGACCACCTTAAATTATTAAAAAAACTTATATTATTTATTTAATTATTGTGGGAGAGCACATCATACGAAGTGGCATGTCTTCCGGGAAGCAACTTTATTTGCATTCCAATGAGTACATTAATTAGGTCTTGTAATTGAAGTAAAGATTCACACTATCGATTCTTTATTTCTGAACTACATTAAATGCCAAATTAATTATTATTTTTCATTTCTTTAATCTGATTCTAAAATTTAGCCCCTGGAGAATAATTTAACTAATGTCAATTGAAACTTATAAATTAGTCATGGACAATTTAACGAGATGCTCCCTCCTTTATTTTAATATTTGTATCTGAACCATGTTAAAATTTGTATCTCATTTAATTCTGTTTACTTACAAACTGTTGCGATACTTAACAGAACAGTTATAAAAAATTTAATATGACACAAATTAAATTATGAAGATCAATATACATATATAGTGGTTGGAGCATGGATGGATGAATAAATAGGAGGGCCACCCTCCAAATTAAAGGAAGCTTCATAATTAATTATATATAGCTGTATTTCTTGTCTGTTGGCTTCATAATTAATAATGTACATAATTTTGTAAACCACTGCTATGATTTTTCTTTTTGAAAAAAAATAATTAATTTTAGAATCTTACACATTTCGATTATTAATTTGCTGACAAAATAAAATATTGCATGTATCATACATAAATTCGGCTACTGGATTAAGATTGCATTCCCAATATTAAAAAATACTCCTTCCGTTCCTAAATAATTGTCATTTTTCACTTTTCACAAAAATTAAGAAACTCAATAAATATATCTTAATTTTAGAAAAATTATATAAAAATAACTAAAACAACCTTTAATATTTAATGATTTATAAGAGAAAATAGGAAAAATGAATTTAATGCATTATTGAAAATCTAAAGTGACAGATAATATGGAACAAAAATATTTAAAAAAAGAAGCAGTCAATGTGGAACAAAGGAAGTATTTAAATTTTAAAATGTAACTGGAAGATTGAATGTAGGGATAATATGCATGACACCCTTCAAACCAAACCTAATTAGATGTAGGGGACAAGCCCAATTAGAATTTTTTTATTAAATCCTTAATTCTGAACAAAAATTGATACACGTCCTTTTAATTTTTTTAAACCCAAAACTACCCTTGATGTAATTAATAAAAAAGTACATTATAATATTATTATATTACTTATCTCTTTCTCCACTTCTCCCTATTATTCGGTCGCACAACTCCTCCTCCTCTTCTCTCTCTCTTTCTCTCTTTTTCTCCCCCTTTCTCTCTATTATTGCGCCGCCCAACACCTCTTCTCTCTCTTTTTCTCTCTTTCTCTACTTCCCTGCCCCAATCTCTGTAATTCACTATTTTTCTTTCTTTTGATTTCTTTTTCTTTTTCTTTAATTATTAGATCTGAATTTTTAAAAATGTGAATTCACTGTTTTTCTTTCTTTTAATTTCTTTTTCTTTCTTTTTAATTATTAGATCTGAATTTTTAAAAATATACAGAGGAATAATAGATCTGCAACGGTGGTGGCCATTTCAGACGCGCTTGTGCGGCGGCGGCGATGTCCCTAACTCGTCTTGGTTGGGGGAGTGGCGATTGCATCACGGAAGGGTTGGCGAGTATGTGCGTAGATATTTTCGTTGTTTTTTTAGCAGTGGCTAGGGCTGGTTATGATGAATTCATGGTATGTGTGCGTTGAATTGCATATACAACGGGGATGGTGGCTGGTCTACGTTTGCTAGCGGTGCTAGGGTTCCAAATGGCAAAAGTAGGGTTTTGAAAATGACCCTAGTTGTCTACGAGACTACGAGTGTCTAACAACGTTGTGAATTGAAGAATCAACTATTATTGAAAACATTTTTTTGACTAATTGCATATGAATCTGATTATCTTTTAAGATGTTTTGCTTGGTATGATCGCTAGAGTTTGGCGGCAGCTGCGTTTGGCTGCTAGGGTTGGCGACAGCTGAGAGTTGTTGGCGGCTAGGCTTTGATAGTACATCATAGTAAAACATAGTATACCGTAGTATACAATTGTACTATACTATAGTATATCGTAGTATACTATAGTCTACTACAGAAAAATATGTATACTAGATTAAAAAATGAAACAAAAAAATAGCATGCTTTAGTTTTTGTTATAATATTATGTACAAAAAAAAAGGAAAAAAAATATTTTATTTTTATAATTTTGTATACATACTAAAATGAAAAAAAGTAAAAAGAATTAAAAAAACGTTAGATTTTACTAAACAAAATAAAATAATAAATGAAACTATTAAATGCAGAATAAAATAATAAATGCAGTTCAAATTTACTAAATGCAGATTTTGAATTTGTGAGTGGAAGGGCATTTTTGGAATGAATTTTATAAAGGATGTGAAACAAAAGTTTTGTTGGACTTGTCATTTAGTTCTAATAAGTTTTGTCACTAGGGACCTATATCTTAAGGCCCCTTGAATGTATCATAGGATTATCCAATCCCGCGCATGCTAATAATATTACCACCGGTCCGGATAACGGAATCCTGGCTTTAACTAATGCTTCAGCCTTCAGGTGTGTTGACTAGTCAAACGTGTGTAGAATTCACTGTCCCCATGCCCTCACACGTGCGAGTTGAAGGTGCTTCGTGTGCAATCGTGGCTTATTTTTTGCAGCTTATAACATATATTCCTGTCTTGGGAGAATGGTTAAGCATGATAGTTGTCTTGGGCCCTTTTAATTAATTCCTGTCCTTTGAACACTAATTAATGAGGTTCTTTTTTGATATTTTAATTGAATAATATCTACCATTTAATATTTATATAAAAGTGTGTGTTATGAACTATGATAGATAATTAGTTATGAGACAAAGTATTTGATTAAATGACTAGTCTTATCCAGAGGTATAAATGAGTCGAGCCGACTCGTGAGCTCAATAAGTCGCTTCAAAAAAAGTTCGAACCCGGACTTGAGCTCGAGTTTTTTCACGAGTCAAGTTTGAGTCTTTTCTTAGTTGAACTCCACGCTGTCAAAATAGCCGAGTTCGGCTCATTCACAGTGTGTTAGTCCCATCGAATAAATAGATGGATTATTGAATTCTGCATGAGTAAATTATTATTTCATCACCGACTCCACAAATGCATATTAATATTCTAAAATCAGTGTAAATTAATATTTTTCAAATAATTAATTGTTATAAAATTCTTAATCCTATTATTCTACATTTATAAAGGAATATAATACAACACAATTTTATATTTATAAATTTTCTTGAATATTGTATATGAAAATTTGTTTTTTAATGTTTTTTTTATTATTCAAAGTATTTCATTTGAGTTGTGGAAGCTGGTTGAACCGGTCTGTGATTAAACCCAAAAAATCATTTGACCGGTCAAACCAGTACTGGAGAGCCTGTTGGATAACTCAAAAGTCAAAACCATGCACTAGCCACTATGGAGTAATTATTATTTTTCTATAATTTTTTAACAAAAGAATAAAAATATCAAGAAATCTGCTTTCAATTGAAAAAAACACTTGACACTGATAAAATCGACATTCCCCTGAATCAGTGGAGAAAAATATGGGTCAGCTTCTAAAATCGACCAATTAGTTTCCCTACATTAATCCAAAAAAATAAATTAAAAACAATAGAACAAAAAATCTAAACTCAAAAAAATAATTAAATTATAATTATTTATAAAAATATGTCAGCAATAATCGACTTCACTATTAAATTATTTATTCAAAATTTGGATTTATAGAGGTCGATGAGAAGACAAAAGAAAAATAAGAGAATTGACGAGTGATGTGTAACGATGATTGCTATATGTGCATGTTAGTAGATGGGCGTAAACAAAACAAAGTCCATGTTGCCGGTAGGGAGAAAAACAACAAAAACTTTCATCACTTCAATTCAACAAAAACCTCCCGTGAATGAAACGATTGCGGTGGCATGTGCTACGCCGCCATTAATAATATAAAATAAAATAAAAATACATTCGGGCATATTTACGAGTACGCAATGTGAATGCAAGGATGCCTAGTCGAGTAGGAGAGTGCACTATCAAATGATTTGAGTTTGATTTCTTCTGCCAACACTTTCTAACCAGCAGAGCTCGTCGCACAAGATCTACTCAATGCAGTTTACAGCTTCAGTGTGATTTGTGGGCTATTTCAGAGCATGGTCTAATACTCAATGTTGCGGGTTCTTTTGTTAAGAAAAAGAAATAAGTAAAAATGTGAGGAAAAGGAACAATAATTGTGTCAAAATAGTTGAACTATTTATTTTAGGGCAAATTGCGGTCATCCTCTAAAGTAAAGTCAAATTACGAAAAAAAATCATCCTATTTGGGTAATTACAACCATCCATCAACGGTGTCAAATTTACCAACTGAAGGAGGGGAATTTTCGTAGGAAATTACATAATTAAACAAGGAATTTGTAATTATCCAAACAATAGGGGATTTTTCATAATTTAACCTTATCTCAAGGGGTTGGTCGTAATTCGTCGTTTTATTTTATGCGCATTAAAGTTAGGTCTTGTGTGTGCTAATTAATTATTGAGTTAATGACAATAATTAGGTATTAGGACCATTCCAATAGTATTGCATGTGGAATCATTGGAATTGAGATAAAGCGACAAAGCATGCATGAATACATTTGATCCGGGTCGAAGTTGTGCTGTGTAATGATAATATTACTAGTGTATTATTTATTACTTACGAGGTAGTTATTCTCAACCGGAGGAGTCACCATCAAATTAAATATTTATATGAAGTAATGTTGTAAAGTTATATGACAAATTATTTGGCCCCTACCCAGTTAACCATTACATTTAATTAAATCGACATTTTTTATGGCAAAATGGACGGCTACATATTATTTATTTTAAAATTGTATTAATTCAATATGATTTGATTTTAGAATTCTATATTGTATAATTGAATAAGTCTAAGATAAAAACTCAATTTTTTTTTCCTCATAATTGCTGATCGGTTTGGAAAATTGTTGATGTGATAAAATACGTCATTCGTTCTATATTGTATATCGTTTTGAGCGGTTGCGTACATATTACAAAAATAAATATAGTTGGCATAGATCATTCCAAAAAAAATCATTCTAAAATACTCTGGACATTAATTGTTTTTCAACTAACTAATTAAAAGTGATAGAGACAAAATTAAATAAAAAATGCAATTAATGTTTTATTTAAATTCTAAAATGACAAATAATTCGCGGAGGAAAAAAAACACTACAAAATAGACAAATAATATGGGGAAGAAGTACCAAATAAATAAAACAAATATATAATTAGTTATAACCCTAACTTAATAAATTCAAATACATGTAATTTGTAAATAAAATAAAAAGACAAATAAATAAATAAATAAAAGAGTAAGTAGTAAGTAGTATATGTTTGGGCCTACAAGCAAAATATACTAATAGTTTGGGAATGTAATCATTGTGTCGTTAGCAAGACAGATTTTTTTGTTAAAAATGCTTACGTAACATTACTTTTTAGTGGATCATAAATATTAATTAATGATTTCTGTAGACATCATTATTATTTAATAGTATCGAAAATGTTGTCACGACTTGACCGTCGGTAGTTAAAAACAATATTTTCTTAATTAGCAATATTTCTTTTATGGATTTTTGATTTTTACATATATATATTGGGGTTTCAAATTCGATTAATAAATATTTTTCGTCAATAAGAATTATATATTATTGTGACATATATATATCCTCGTATATGTTCATATACCTTTTAAGAGAGAGAGAGAGTACAAACTACTGGAACTTGCTAGCTAGTCATGTGTTTCTTCGTTGATATTTTAGAACTTTGATAAATTAACATTTTCTTTAAATAATATGTTTTCTCCCCGACTTGACGGTAACGTGCTAAAGAATATTTTGTTAAATTAATATTTATCTAAATTATTAAAATTTGGTTGGTGCCGACGGTATTAATGTATAGAATTTAACTGTAAATATAGTTGTCATTTTCATTTTAGGTATAAATCTTAAAAAACTCAATAAATATGTATTAATTTTAGGAAAAACTAATATTATTGGATCAAAATACTCTTGTTTACTAATTAATGCAAAGAGAGTGTTCGAAAGTTAATTAGGATATAATTCAAAATTACGTAACTCATATAGCACTAGAATTATAAAGTGACAGTAACCGATACTCTGTCATGCATAAAAGAGGGAGTAATATTTAATATAATTACTTATTGTACTTTAATTGCACCTTGAGTTAGTAGAACCCTGATATTATCTTTATTTACTTATATTTTTTAATATAATTGAAACTTTATGTTATCATGGTTAGTGAAATAGGGGAACAAAATCAAAGCATAGAGCACCACAATTAGCACCATATCCCAAACTTCTTTTGTACACTTCCCATGCAATTTTCTCAAGATATTTTCAATCACCTATTTTAGAACTAGTTAATTCAGATTTTGGCAATTAGACATTTAAAATAGAAAAACCAAGTGAGATTATCTTATTGAATATATTTTATATAAAAAGAAAAACAGTTGCAACAAAAGAAAGATGAAGAAACAGAAGAAGTGGTGTGGAGACAAAGAATGGGATTAGAAAGCCGACACCCAAATCTATGGGATAATAACATATAACCCCACTAAATAACTGTAATAGATTTTTTGGGCCCATTACTTTTTGTATCTTACTTTGCATATCTTATATTATCCTATCCAACCGATTTTTCTTTTTAATTTCCACTAATCTTAAGTCGGATTCTTAGATAACTGTAGAAAAAACACTGAATAATCAGATGGATCAACGCCAAACGTCCATAATAACAAGTCCATAGAGGCACACAAATCGAGTCAAAGTTGACTCATATAATAATATAATTATAAGTAGGCTGAGGCTCAAGTTGGGCCCTAATGCAAGTAGTCAAACCCAAGTCGGCTTATGTTAAGAGGCTTAAACATCGAGAATATATTTCTCCATACTAATACTCGAAACCCTCACAATTAAAGGTACGCAATTCATAACTTCCGAACAGTCTCGTACATTTTCTGAATGTTTCTATCACACAAAACTGACTTGAGCGTTACACAGTTTTAGCCAAGACTAAGTTCCGGCTCCCTAGTGACATTTTGTAAAGTAGGAATCAATAGCGCGATGGAGAAATTACAAAACGTGACGTGAAATTGGACCATCTAAAATTCTATTCTTCTAGGCACAAAAATTAATAACAAAATTTTTATCTTAGGTATCCTCAATAATAGACTATATTACAATATATAACACATTTTTATTTATCACTATTAATCTTGGTGAACTATATTGGGTAACATGTCATTGTATATTTATATACTAAGGTAAATTGTGTAACTCGTTTCAACTAAAATTCTTAGAATACGCCAATTCACTTGCACGTGGAGAGTAATTAAACATTAATGTAAAAAAAAAAAAAAAAAAAAAAAAAAAAAAAAAAAAAAAACCCTTTAAGGTTTAACGGTTGATTTCACAGCCGTTACTTCATTAAGTGTAATTTAACGGGGAATTCACAGCCGTTACTTCAAGAACACGCCGACACGTATCGGGTATAAGTTTCAGAACAATTAATGTGTAACGTACTCGATCATGTGACCGCTCGTGCAAAAGTACAAAAAGCCCCACGGTGGGCCCACCACGTGGCACCTGCTGAAACACATGCATTTCCCCCTTTCAATTTTTGTTTTTCCCCATTGAGGTATTCAAATTTCCTCTCTAGTTTATGAACATATTTTCACAAACTAAATCTAGTACTATCCCTTTCCAATTAATTGTCGTTTTTCAGTTTTACACACTGATTAAAAATGTTGATAACGTTAAATTATAAAATATAAAATACGAAAGTTAATAGTTAGTTAGAGTTGAATTAATAATATTAAAATATAAAAAGAAAATATATTTAATACAGTATTGAAAATCTAAAGTGACAGATAATATGAAATAGAAAGTACTTTAAAAAATAGATAATTATTATAGAACATATGAAGCACGTTTTTAACTTGAAACTTTCCTAAACTTAATTACATGAGATCGATGATCCTTTAGCTATCCAATATACTTTAGAGCATCATCGATATCGATATCGAGAATTTATAAAAACGGAATAAAATAATAAAATCGACAAAACGAGCACATTAATTTTTTTTATGGTGGAAAATAAAATTGGAAGAACATAATCAGGAAATAGATGTGATTTGATTTTGCAAAGTGACAGGGAGAAAATAGTAAGAGACAGTGAAGAAGCATATAGAAGAAGAAGAAGAAGAAGAGAAGGCCGTGATTAACGGCAAATAATTAAGTTTGTAACTTATGTAGATGACAAATTATTATGTAACACGCACATGACATTGTTCTTTTCTTTGGGGTTTATTTATTTTTCTAGGTTAGTTTAATGGTAAGCATGGCTTTTTCTTTCAAATTGTTTTTTTATGGATAAGTTGACTCAAACTAGACTTCGAACAAGGGATACTTATATATTTCCCATTAAATAAAAAATGTTAAAAAAAAAAATAAAAAAAAAACTATGATGTGTCAAGTCGCCTAAATTATTAATTATCAAATGAGGTATAAACAAATTGCAATGTTGATGAGTAATTATTTTAATAAGGCCTTTAAAATACAAGTATCTATGAAAGGCCCATGAAGAAGTCTCACCGTATCAAATTTTAAAACCGTTTGGCTAAGATTATTTTAAATAATTGATATTTTTTTCTGATAAATTATTTTAAGAGTTGATAAATTATTTCATCTTATTTTAAAAATTAAATTTTAAAGTATTCGAATAATGATCTTATAAGCAATTTTTATATATTATAAGATCTTAAATAAAAATGTGGGGGTAAAAGTACTTTTCGAAAAGAAATTACTTAGGTGGTGTTTGCAAATGCTTTTTGAAAGTGATTATGCGGTTTTTTTTTGCTCATAATCTGTTTTTAGGTGTTTGCAAAATCAACTTTTGCTTTTGCTTCTCTTAAAATAATCTGCTTTAAGCTATTTTTTTAAAAGCATCTATAACCCTGCTTTTTCAATTTTAGTTCATTTTCCGAAATATTTGCAAACACCCCCAACTTTTAGAAACAAGCACTTAAAACTAACTTAAATCACAATCGTTAACTTCTGCTTTTAAATAATCATTTGCAAACACCACCTTACTCTGCACCAGCTGTTTTCCAGAATTTTCAAAATATTTTTTTTATGTACATACAAAAAAATTCAATTTCAATTATGAAGAAGCATTAGTAAAATTCTGTGTATGTGTGTGTGGTGTGTGTGTATATATATATCCAATTATAAAGATTTATTTTCCAGAAATTAATTGTTGCACAAAATGAGTCTCCCACGATTGTACCTGTGAATGTCACTGTGGATATTGAACAAATCATGCAATATTTATTTGGTGATGAAACAGCGCACGTGCGCCAACAGAGTTGGGAACTGGCCATGTGATTTGAAGGTATTCTCATTATTCGATACCATAATAATAATGAAATGTGCGAATAAGAGATTATTGCATTTACCACCCCTATATTTCTCTAATTGCTAAAAGAACCCCTTGTCTTTTTGTGAATAGCAAAAACCTCCCTACAATTCAATTTAAACTACCACCTAAGAACGTTGTGCGCTAAACAAATGCATTATAAGGAGATTTTTGCTAATACGAATAACACAGGGAGTTTTTTTGGCGATTCGATATAATACAGGGGGTACTAAATGCAATAAACTCGAAATAATAAACATGAAGATGATGATATACTCTATATTTTTACCTGGTGGTTGCTGTTGAACCAAAAGGACAAGGAAGAAAGACTCCAGCCATTTTCATCTCAAATTTCAGAAGCAATATATGTATACCACAATTTTAAAATACGTCAAAATCGAGCATTTAGAACAAGAGAAACATTGCCCTAAAAAGTTGGGTTAGACAAGTCACTAAAAACCGTTTCCCTATTTTTCCTATCAGATCAAAATATAAGAATTCAAAAGCCATTTTACCTCACAATAATCTTTGCGTAATCTGCAGCTAATCTTTCCAGCTTTCCTTACTAAACTTTCTCGAAGCCATACCTTTGGAAGAAAGGCTCGGAGTGAGAGGTAATGAAGGTGTCTTCGGTGCTTCTTCATCGTCCCAGCTGTCATCCCAGCTGTCATCCCAGCCCTTGATCTCACCTGGCTCGATTCTGCTGCCATGAGAAACGGGTAAATCCATATCCAGCTTCTGGTATTTGGGTACTTTTCTTGCGAAATACTTTATACCTAATTTGGTGCACACGAAAACTGATAGTGCGACTATTAGTAGTGCAGCCACAATTAACAGAAATGCAGTGGATAAAGTCGGGTTAAAGATATTGGGTTTTGGGGGTTCGTTGGAATGGTCGATTTTGTTTTTCCCCAATAATTGGTCTCTGATGTTGAGACTGCAATTGCCGTGTCCTGCTGTGAGTATGATGATGTGGCCATTTTCGATGCCAGTGATGGAAACCTTGACCTGGAAATAATACACAATTCAGAACCAGTGGTAAGGAAAACATGCATAAGTAAAGGACTCAGATATTATCTAATACAGTATACAAGTACTTCATATATGCAGCTATTAGAAAGAAAGGAGAATGCACTAATATAGGTTTGTTGCTTTTCTTGGAATTTCTTGGAAATGAAATATTGTTTAAGTTGTGCCGGTAAATAAAGGGACGTCTAAATGCTACAAGAATCATTAATCACTTTTTCTGAAGTTTTACTAATATGTATTATAAATATGAGTGAGATAATATGGACTTTTACTAATATATATGTATTATAAATTAAATCAAATTTATGACAAACTGGAAATGAAAAGGAGAACCCATAATAGCTCAACATACTTAAGCATTATTAAGAACATGAAAAAAGATTTGCCTTAATCTAGATGATATTCACCCGCTGGCTGCTTGTTCCTTATTAACTGAAAACTGAAAGCTATCAAACGGTACGAGATATAAGGCACGGAAAGAATGCATGAAGGCGGCGTAAGGTCAAATGAAGGCTAACCGCGTATGTTATAACTACGGTTCCGTACCAACCAAAATACAAGACAAGGCTTGTGTCACAGGACTAGGTAAAAGAAATATATGACTCGGGAATAAAAGTTGCCCCTAGTGAAAATGGCAATAACGCAACGGCATTTAGCATGGACTAAAAAATTGAGCCGATCACATAAAAATCATATTTCTCCATTATAATTTGGACCAAAGAAAATTATACGAACAGACTCAAAAGGATGGAAGAAAGTCTAATTTAAAACCGTTTCGGTGCCTGTAGGTGTCGACAAATAAGCCAAGGTGACCACATGCTTTATGTCTTGTATTTGGACAACGACGTGATCCACTTCATATTTGCATGATTTTAAATTAAGAATATTAACCACGTTACTTAGCAAAACTGAAAACTCAGACTGATATAACATTCAAATCCAAGAAAATAGTTTCTACTTGACCACCTTTTATATGACAATAAGATACGAGCAATATAAACCTCATGAATGGATGAGAATTAGGGAATACAGTATATACCTCGGTATCTTTCTTCTCTTCCAGCTCGATCTGATTTTTCTCTAGCTGAACTAAATCAGGAGCTGAAATATTAATGCTGAGGGAGCCTTTTCCCATGTTTTGAATCAAAAGCGAAAGGGCCGGAGATTCTGAGAAAGAAAGAGTGAACTGTCGTCATCCTGTTCACACCCAAATAGTTATCATGTTTGTATTTAGTAAGCACACACATTCATAAATACTAGATATGCACGATTACATTCATCGCTCAATCCTCTATCAAGATAAATTTAAAATTTTTAATTCAACTTAATGCAAGATTAAAGAGACAAAGAATTGGACTCTAATTAAGAACGAAAGTACTACTTGCTAATAACCATGGCAAAATAAACCCAACAAACGTAAATCATCTTTCAGAAATATTAGAAGAATAAAAAGAAATAACAAAGGAATCCACAACCTAGTATCATCAACCACGAGCTAATCTCTCGACTTAAACTGAGAAATACAGAGATGCAGTAATAAATATTGCGAATTTAAGCAAGTATACTCGAAAAATCATCAATTAACACGAGAATGAACTTGATAAGAAAAGCAATTGGGTGTACCATTCCCGGGAACTCTCAAACAAGCAACGAACGTCTTGTCATCATCCGTACAACGATTTGAAGACGAATCACATTTTTCTATTAAAGGTACCAAACTCGCCCCATTTGCTTCCTTACCCAACCCGGAATCCGACCCATCGTTCTCCTTTATCTCCTCTTTCTTCTGCCCATTCTCCCCTCCTTTCGACACCAACTTCTCTTTTGATTCATTCTTATCTAAGTCACCGCCCTCATCCTTCTTCGTATGGTCAACTATTTCATTTACTGTACCATTACCAACACTATTTTTTGTACCCCCAACATTTCCCTAACAGTACAAATTACCATATTTTAGTAAACAACACAAAAAAAAAAAAAAAAACTAAATTGTTTCCATAAACCACCAACAATAAATACCAGATTTTGACGATTTAATTACCTCCGAATCTGCAGTTCCACAAAAACAAACGACTGATGCTGTAAGTACAACCACCAGAAGCGCAAACTTAATCTTCATCTCCTCCCTTCACTGATTAAACGATCTGAAAATTAAGTAAAAACGCAGTCAATCAACAAAAGTAACTACGAAACCAGCAAATAATCACGAAGTAATAACCTAACATCTACTTTTTCCGATTAACTGATTTAATCGGCGAATTGATTAACTAATCTGTACAAACAAAACTTTATACAATCGTTAATATCGAAACACTGAAGATAAATAGAAAGAGAAAAAATCGACGAAAAATAGCTAGGGTTCGTAAATCGTTGTGTATCTATATGTATGTATACAAGTATAAAGTATTTCACCTGTATGTACAATGAGGAGACCGTTATATGATCTGTAGAAATGAAAGGGAAAAATGGGGAAGAAAGCATCGGAATTTTCCAAGTTAGCAGAGAAGAGCAAGATGAGTCAACTTAGTTGACTGGTAAAATAGCTAGGGTAGTATTTGGAAATGGTTTTTTGGTTGATTATTATTATTTATTGATTGTTATTGTTTATTTTTTGAAAAATATGTATCGTTGAGGAAGAAATTGAGAATAAAAATAATATTGATTTTATGTAAGAAAAAACATTGTAGGAGTGAAGTTATTTGAGAAAGATCGGAGAAAGATTATCCACTATAGCTGTCACTGAGTAAACATCAATTCTCGTATAATAGTTTGCAAATTATACGACAGACGCAATACATACTAGATTAATTATGTGTGACAAGTTCGACCTATCAACCATTTTTAAGAAAAATTCGAACTTGGGTCAGTTGAATATATTTAAAAAAATTACTTGATCATGTATAGAGATTGTTACAAGGGTAAAATCACTTTTATCTCTATACTTTTTTTTAAAAAAAAATTCCTTATTTGTTCAATTATAATTTCTTTTTCTTTATGCTATTTCAGCTACAATTTCCACTGATCATAGGAATAATATAACAAATTAAAATAAAAATAGAATACACTCAGTAACAAATATTTAAAAAAGAAAAAAAAAAAAAAAAGTACTTTCTGGTGTCTTCCTAATGTTTCATGGGCTGAGTTATTAAAGAATATGACATGAATTATTTTGGCCCAATTAGAACTAAATACGATTTTCTTCAGCCCACTTTAGGTTGAAATTTTTTATATTATTACTTTTTAAAAATATAAGTAAGGCGGGAAATGAAATCAAACTATTTGATACTCGTTTAGAGTTTGTTAGTTAAAAGTTCGTTGTTTTTGGTTTGTTATCTTCATGAATCAAGTTTGAACATCTTTATTTTCGTTTGATAAACTATGAAGTTCGAGCTCAGTTATAAGATAAAAGACGGCGTTTATTTTATTTTCATGCATCAAAATAAAATTACTTTTTCATGATTAGCATCTAGGAAAGTAACAGTAGAAAAAATAAAAGCCCAAAAATCTTGATAATAATATTAGACTATCATTTATACTCAAAATTCAATTTATTTTTTATTTTTTACCAAAAATTCAATTTGTTTAGTCGGTGTTAAAATTCTGCCCAGTCTAAAAAATAAAGTCAAATTCCCCTAAACATAGGGTTTACCAAGTCTTAAGAGCATGTTGGAAAGTGACAATAGGCTAAGGTGTACACCAACTTTAATTGAATTCCATTAATTAATTATAAACCCCTAATATTTAAATTTTTATTTTGTTTTGGAAATAAAAGAATCCACAAGCAATCTATAAATACACTGGATAATCTACATTCTAGACTAATCATGTATGACAAGCTTGATCAAGCGAACATCGACAAAGAAAATAAAAACTCGAGTCCATTGAGACAACTCCATTTGCTGCAACCGACAAGTCGTCGTTTAATAAAGAGTAAATTTGTAAGTTGTAAGTTATAAGTTTGTAGCTCTCTCTCTCTCTCAATCAATTAATTGCTCAATTATTCCAATTCCGTTGATAAATTGCATTTAATTCAAAAAGTTAGAGTTACAAAAAAAATTGTCAAACCGACTTCCAGTCGATGCCTTTCTGGAAATTGCTAGTTTGCTACTATAGATTATGACATAAGTAATGACGTGGCATGTACTAGTGATTTTCATTGGACATTAGTTTTTTTTTTTTTTTTTTTTGATTGGACATTTGTCACACATACAATTATGTTGAATTTATCGAATTTTGGTTATATAATTGAGTTTTATATTAAATTCAAAATAATATATATTTATATATTTTGTGTCCATTTATAAGATTTTATACTTTCTACAATAATGTGTGAGACAAGGTCATGAGGCCCATGACGGTAGGTCCAAATGCATGGCCCCTAGGAAGAAAACAACCTTAGATTGTGACAATTTATATATATATATATATATATATATATATATATATATATATATATATATATATATATATAGTGAAGAAGTGTTGCAATCTAATATCCTTATTCACTATTTTTTCATTCTATTAATTCCGATCAAAGTAAGCTGCAGGTTTTTCCGATCAAAGAATGAATAAATAGTATTATACAAGTAACAGTGCCCAGGTTTTTCCGTGAACAAATACAGTTAGCTGCAGGTTCACTTATTAAGGAAAATAATGATTATTTATAATTAGAAAAATACAATTTATCTTTATAAATTAATACAGTTGAGACCAGTAAATTTATATTAATTTACTGAAATATTGAGTTATCGAACTAATAATTTATTATATTTTCATTGAATTGAGATCGAAATAAATTATTGTTTAAGCGAAATTATTATTTTATCGAGTTTCTACTATAATTAGTACCGGAGATTATGAAGTAATACTTTTGAAACCTCCATGATCATAATATCATTCCTACGTCTCAAAATTCAATTAGTAAGTAAAAAATATGGGTGACGGAAGCCCCTCGTCACCATGACGTCACCATGCGGGATTTATGTCCACAAAACGACGTCGTAACGCATTTACATAATGGATTCACGAGAAAGTGACGAAACGATAATAATGATAATTTACGTACATTATTATATATTTATTATAGGACACGTCCGCGGGTGTACAGTTGGGTGGTGACGTGTCGCTTTCAGGAGGATGGGGACCACATTTGTGTGTGGCGACCAAAGTCTTACTAAGCGCCAAAACATACCTTTTTGCGGTCAACTTTTTCTGGCCGTCCAAATTTCGTGGTGATGGTGCCTATGATTGTCTGCGGTATATTTACTTATTTGCCCCTCGAGAGATTTAGAATTTTTTTCATTTAAATAATTATTCTTAGGGTAAATTAAACATACACTGAGTGAAATATGCTAAAATAACATTAAAGTTCATATGGTATATGTAATTACAGTAACACCCCCTAAATAATTATCGAAGCCAAGAGTTTATGTCCTGGGAACCGATATGCATTATATTAGGAGAGCCATGTCACCCCTAACTCTTTGTTGTCTCTACCTCTGCCGGAAACTAATAGTACTCTGATGAAACCTTAACGGAAAAACTTATCCGATGGATTATTCCATTAACGTTTTTAACAATGTTTCAAAAGAGTGATTGTAATTAGCAATACTAAAAAAATCTTTAAAATATTTTAGTATATTTCAGGGGTGTACGTGTAATTTATCCTTATTCTTATTTGAAGTGAATTTTCTTTTGGCATTAATATTAAACAAATCCGCCTAACCTCAAAGAATACTAAACCTATGCTACAAAAGAGCAACTGATGGATGAAGAATAAAATGTTAGGTATATTGTCAATTTGTGTATGATTTTTGTGGCGTCACATAAAATATGGAACGAGGTTAATTAGATAATTAGTATATATGTAATTATATGTTAATTAAGATTAATAAAATGCTATCCCACTAATTATAATTAGGTTTAATGGATAATAAATAACATTAATGTATGCAAGTTGATCTGCTTGGTGCATGAATCATAACTCAATTGGCCTTGTTGCATTTTGATGCAAATTATATATCCAAATTTATAAGGAATCTTATATCTTATATATAAAAGAAAGAAACGTTGGGCAATCCTAACAAATTCTAATGGTATGTCTGTAATTATTTATTTTTAATACTTTTTCTCTACTAATTTGTAACTATAATTTTTAACAATTATCAAAATCTTATATATAAAAGAAAGAAACGTTGTACAACCCTAACAAACCCTAATGGTATTTCTGTAATTATTTATTTTTAATATTTTTCTCTACTAATTTGTAACTATAATTTTTAACAATTATCAAGATTAAAACTAAACCGTGAAGAATCCTACCTTATTGCTACTTATGTAATTATTTATTTTTAATATTTTTTCTGTACTAATTTTTTAACTATAATTTTCAACAATTATTGATCTCCTAATCTTCATCAATATATCTCAAATCTTAAGAGATAAAGCTAGAAATTCAATATGAATAATACTACATTATTAAATTTTATTATATTAGTGTACTATATTTTCTTATTATGTATTAAATTGATTATTTTTTTCGCTATTTAAATAATATCCCGTGCATCACACGGAGGGAAAATGCTAGTATTATTGAAACGAAGGTTATTTAGTCTTTTTTAATATGTTTTTTTTTTTCTTAAAATCAAGCGACATTTATTATGTAAAGCTGGTAAGAGATATATATTTAGGAACAGAGAGAGTAATTCTAAATCCGTCGATCCAAAAAAAAATGAATTCGGAAAATAAGAGGCTACATTTGGAATTTTAAGTATCTATACAAAATAGGGTAAATTACAAACACCCCCTGAGGTATGGTCAAATTACAAAAATACCCCTCTTGTTTGGATAATTACAACCACCCCTCAACTCATCAAATTTAGTGGAATCTTCGAGATTATATGGAACATTATCACTTTTGTACCCGTTTTATCCTATTCAAACTCTACATTATGAAGCAAGATGATCATAATATGTGATTTTTAGCT